AGTGCAATCAATACAACGTTGGCAATTGCTGCTTCGAAAAGGAATAATATGAAGAATAGAAAATGGAAAAGTGTAAATGACAAAGACCATGTCTTGAATAGAAAAGATAGTCGATTTCTTTGTCATGCAGTAGGATTAGGCAGTAGTAATACCATATGAAATTATACATTTTCCTTTTCATTAAGAGTGTAACAAAGAAATCTCTCTCTCTCTCGCGCGCGCTTTCTCTTCTCTATTACACATATTTCCTTTCCTTTTTTTCATTGTTCCTATCCTCGGTAACTGACAGAACCCGAACAGAGCTTATGTGGGCCAGTGAACATCATAAAAAAAATCAACCAATGACAACATGCCCCGTCAAAAATCAAACGGAAAACACATATGTGTCAGGCCAAATAAAGAAGAAGAAAAAAAAAACACGTGCGCGGGGCAGCAGAAGTGGGAAACTGTTTCGATGTAGCAGTTCGAGACGCAAGGGCTCGAGATTCATCGGATGTCGACTTTGACCGGAAGAAAAAGAAGAGGAAAGGATGAATTCAATAAAGTAATTTTCTGTCAGCCAAAAACACAACAAACTCTCAAAACAAAAAAGGACGAAGACGATAGTCAACCCACGTTAACCATTGTAACTAAATGGAGTCAGCAATAAAATGATACAATAGAAAGCAAATTTGCTCTTATGCATTAGCTCAACCTGCATCTCTATATGCCATAATTATTTTATAGACGTTATAGAAGCTCATAAAATGATTTCTGTGAGGCAAGACGGAGAATATTTTGAGAAGAAATACATTTAAAATAAATGAAAATGAACTGAATGTTCAGATATATATATATATATATATATATATATATAGAGAGAGAGAGAGAGAGAGAAAGATAGGACTAGACAGAAAAGGAATGAGAGAAAAACAAAACAAGAGATATTACGACAAAAAGAAAGACTAAAGAAATTGGGTCAATGCTAGTCGGGAAACAAATGAAATATGGATATTTTGAGGGATAGATAGATAGATAGATAGATAGATAGATAGAGAGAGAGAGAGAGAGAGAGAGAGAGAGAGAGAGAGAGATTAGAACAGAAACAAAAGACAGGAAGAATGGAAAATGCACACGCACACAAATACACACACACACATATATATATGCTAAAAATAAATATACGTTTGTTCCAATTGCACGTAGCAATTATCAGGTACAAATTAAAAATGACTGCTCTAATACATCAATATTCATAGCCTGCTGGCAAGATAGTGAAGCAGTGCATTTATATCTGAAAAAAATAAATAAATTGGAAAAAATGAATTGATTAAAATATATATTTATATATATTATAAAAAGATAAAATATAATATATAAAAGAATAAAAAAATAAAAATAAATTAAAAGGTTAAAAATAAAAATAATAAATATAATGTAAAAAGTAATATGATATACTAGTAAAAATATAATTTTAAAATTCATTATATAGATATATGTAGCATTACATATGTATATAATGTGTTATATATATATATATTATGCAGTGTATATCTGAGGAGTGGAGGGATTTACTGAAATCAATTTCGTTCATCGTTTTTCAATAAATATATTTTTTATATTTATATGTAACCATTAATTCATATATATATATATATATATATATATATATATATATATATATATGAAGATATATAGTCTTAAGGTGTGCTATATTTATGGGATAAAGTGCTCAATATCAGAGATAGAGTGTGTGTAAATATAAAGTGAACATAGAAGTCAACACTTAGAGGCGACAGTCTGTTTCATGCTATATGCAATCGTCAGGCCACTATCTTTCTAATATATATTTTGGCCTGACGATTGCATATAAGTGTTGATTTATGCACTTTTTATATATATATATATATATATATATATATTCAATAATATCTTTTCAAAATCATATATATATATATATACATATATATATATATATATATTCAATAATATCCTTTCATAATCACGTATATATATATATATATATATAGAGAGAGAGAGAGAGAGAGTGAGAGAGAGAGAAAGAGAGAGAGATGAGGAATAGATAAGAGATATAGAGAAGAACGACAGAACAACACAGAAATTAAATGAGAGTAAAAGAGAAACTTAGGAACGAGAGTATGTGAGTAAAAAAATAGAGAAGAGAATGATACGAACAAACCAGGACAAGTATTTTAAGTATTTTAAAGCAAGAGTGAAACCATTTTCAATTCATTTGTAATTCTTTAGTAAGAAACGTGTGCAATTGTTTCCATTTTAATTAAAAAAAAATCTATCCAGCACTTATCAAAAATAAAAACAGCGCTGGGAATATATTACCATGTTTTTTTACCAATTCGGTTTATGTGGTAAAAGTCGAATAATCTCAAATATTTTATTAGTTCCGTCCGTTACCACAATTCATCCAAGAAAAGGAAAACAATTTTTAATTTTGTAGAACTAGTCTATGATATCTGATAAAAGATGGTTCATTCGCTTGAAGTTATTTTTCATCACTGATCTAAGAAAACGGTTGTATATAAATCATAGTTTAGAGATTTCTGAACGTGATATTTATCTTCATTCCTATGTTGGATGTCTCTGTTCCCAAAAGGAAATATTGGCGACTCTTTTTCTTACTATCTAATTTAGTTGTTTACTGTACACTCTTTAATTTCGTTACTGACTCTTGTCGTACTACGCAGCTCTGCCCTCTTGGCAACTCCGATCATGCGGTTGTGTCTGTAAACATTTCATTCCGCTCCCCACCAGTCAAAAACCTCCTACCAACCGAATATCTTTTTGTTATCAACGCGCAGATTGGGACTCGTTCCATGATTTCTTTTCTGAATATGTATATAAAGCTCATTGTTAATAACGGCAATGCTCGAGCTGTGGCTCTAGATGTCTCGAAGGCATTTGACAGGTTTTAGCACACTAGTCTTTTTCTTTTTTTTTTGTTAAACAATTCATCCAAGAAAGGCGGGATGGTACTAGCACGCAAGGGGTTGCAGAGAGTGGGAGTGAGGGTAAAGATGCGTGATAGAGGAAAGGATGAAGTGAAGGCCAGGGAATAGATCAAGGCACCTGGAGATGTCGATTGGCATTACATTTGAATAGTTGGAGATTATAGCTATCAGAGAAACTAGTAATAGGAAGGGAATTCTACAGCCGGTGCGAGACATGAAGCTATTGGAGTAGAAGAGACGGCTACATTTAACTGTTTCGATATTGAAATGGTGGGACCGAGATGCCAACCTAGTTGCACGTTTAAATTCATGCGAGCAGCTACCGTGAAAGTATTTCTAGAAAAGACAGAGGGAGGCGACGGTACGTCTTTGAGAGAGCAACTGTTGACGAGATGCCAGATCAGGGCTAATCACATTGCATATCCGTCTCTGGATTTAAACGTAAGCTCCAGGATTACCGTATTACTAGACGATTGTTTTAATCCAATCGTTCCTATCAATTCGCGAAATGAAGGTCGTTTCGAACGGGCTCGCTTCCAGGTCCTTTCACACGAACGCCGGTGTCCCCCAATGTTCTATCCTGGGTCCTATGCTGTTTCTGATCTTCATCAATGATTTCCTGATGTCATCAATTCCCAAGTACGCATTTATGCGAATGACTATCATTTATTCCTATATCAATAGCAAATCCGCCAGAGCTGACAAAGTTAATTTGGTCGCTGCTCTTGAAAAGGACCTCCAATTTATGGTTAACTGGGGAAGGAAATGGCTCGTAAATTTTAATACCTCCAAAACGAAACTGCTCTTCTTTAATCACCATAAAGAAGCTTTTCTGCTTACCATCAGCATAGCTGATGCTAGACTCATGGAGAGCAACACACTGCGCCTTCTTGGCCTCACATTTTCAACTGACTTGAAGCGGAACGACTACATCGAAATAGCTGCACCTACTGCAAGGAAAATTAGGTCACTGTCTCGAGTCAGAAGGTTTTTCTCGTCAGAGTCCACATTGCACATTTACAAATTCGTTCTTGCACTGAATATTGTTGCCATGTCTGGTCTAGTGCTCCTGTTACTCGTCTCGAGGTTCTTGACAAAATCCAAACAAGGATCTGCAATGTAATCGATCCTGACTTGTCATATCGACTTCAGTGACTTTCGTGCCGACATTTCGTAGCTTCTCTCTGTCTTTTCTACAAATATTTTCAAGGCAACTGCCCTGAAGAGCATTTTTCCTGAGTGGCCGTAAACTACGTGAGTTTAAGTGTGCTACTAGAATGGCATCTAGGTCCCACACTTTTACTGTTGAATGAGTTAAATATAAACGCTACTTATACGCCAACATTTTCTTTTATCGCACTTCCGGTCTGTACAACTCTCTTCCGTTTCCATGCTTCCCTGATAGATACAATCTTCAAAAATATGAATGCAACGTCAATCACCATCTTCTATCTTGAACCACATTTTATCCTTTCCTCGATCCCCCTTATACTCAGTCTGAAATAATTAAAAAAAAAAAGAAAGAAAAAAAAAAAAGGAAAATATAAACGTAAGGAAACATAGAGTAGATAAAAATAAACTATTCGGAACACAAGAAAATTCAATCGAGGAAAAACGATGATGCAAAAAATATCATTTTTCTCTTATTCTCCCACACATATGTGGGAGAATGATTTTGAATTTTTTTTTTAATGATTCATAATCAGACGGAAGCAACAGATGGTTCATATGCCCCATGTTTACCACAGCTGTTTACCTGGGTTACTCTTATACGTCACAGAATTACAAATGGTAATAGCTGAATATTATACCGAAGGAAACTCTCTTTTCAGTACGTTTCTCTTCTCTAGGTGTTCCTTTTAAAAATAAATCCTAACAGAATGTTTCACACTGAAGCCTTGTAGCACACAGGAAATTAAAAATCAGAGAAATCATTCCTTTGTAGAACCATATATTCAAATCTCTTCGTAATCTGCGAGGAAATTACTCAGCATTCACTGCCATATTGGATATTAACTATTCTATAAAGATTAACGGTCACATTGTGTTGAAACACCAGTTCCAGTACGATCACCGAAGTTAAGCAACTTCGAGTCTGATTGGTACTTAGATGGATGAAAGCTTAAGAATACCAGGTGTCGTAATCATAGATGTGCGGGTGGTGTAATGGATAATAGCTCAGAATTGTTAATCGGAAACTCGAGTTCCAATTCCCGTTGGGTTCGTTATATTCAATTACACACCTTGGGAAATGTATGAAACCATCTCTTCTCTCACTAACTAACTGGGCTAATTAGTAAAACTTGTATTACTTATCACTAAACCGTTATTATCTGAAAAAAAAATAAAAATAAAAAAATAAAATCTTACAATATAAAATATTTTCTGGCTTTAAATAATCTGCAAAAGATTAAGCCATAGAAAAAGAATCAATCAATCAATTATTAGATAGGTGTTCAGCACTTTTTCTTTGCTTCTAAGTACATTTTTCTATCTCCTGATACTTGGCTTAGTTTCTGGAAGACATATTTCACTGTCCCTTTGCGCCTTCGGATTTCGGTGTCACATATTCCGTCGTCTATCCAGATAGTTGAATTCCTGTGTCTGATTTTGACATTCCCAATATTTAGCTCATAACTTGGGTTTACTGATTTGATTTAATTTGATTGTTTAACGGCACATCAACTCTGTATGGGTCATTTAATGCTGAAATTTAATTTCCTAGGGAGCTTTGAAGTAACAAGACTATGTTATTCTGCTTTCACAGTTGAATACATGGTAGATGATACTCAGCTTTTGTGCATATATATGTATGTGTGGACATAATTACTAAAGGCGGTGATATGTGTGTTTTATGTTGGAGTTTTGTTGAAGTTATATTTTGGAATATAGTTTGATTTGTTTAAGAAAATATAGGATATTATATGGATTAATGTCATGAAAGTATTCTTTTATGTTGATTGATGTATTGTTGGTAATTTTAACATAAATATATAGTGTTGGTAATTTTTTTATATAAAAATGTATTGCTGGTATTTTTACTATAGAAATGTATTTTTATATTTTCATAGGATTTTGTTTGAGGGGTTAACTTTTTGGCCATAGCTGAGACCCTAACAGGTGTTACCACCCAGGATCAGGGTGGTAGCACCTGTTAGGGTGGTAACAGCAGCAATTAAGAGGTGGTTCCACGCTCATCAAAATTTCCAATCTCCTAATCACATGCCTTGCTGCAGGATATAGTTTATCGTCATACCCAGGAACTTTGGGTTGATTCTTTTGCTTCCAACCATGCATTTTGTCTTAATCTTCTTCTTGATTTACTTTACCACCTTGCCCAGAATATCCTTCAGTTTTTTTTCTTACCATCAACACAGTAACTTATATGTTTATTTATGCATGTATATGCGTGGCTATTGATAGAGATATATATGGAGAAATGCATGTATGAGGAGGAATCAATAAATTCGTAGCCTGACAAAAATTACTAGCTCAAATTCGATTTTGAGTTTTTCTATATAACATTTAATTTACGTGATTAATAATAAAATGTTAGATTAAGTGCATCGTCAAGGAGGCAATGTTGAAAAGTAAATTAGAAAATACAGATGATCAACTACGAAAGGACATCGAGTACTAAGAATTCATGTTACATTTGTGGAAATGCTGGCAGGCTGAAAAGATAGGCAGGTATTAATAAAAGTCAACCGATTGATAACAAAATGTGTCTGTGTGTCATGTCTGTCATCTTTGTGCCAGAAGTTTTAAAAGTTTGACCGGTTTAAAGACCCATATTCATTTAAGGCACAAGTGAATTTTACAAAGAGGGTCTTGATGGGCCCTACATGACATCGAAGTGGCGTCTATTACGTATGTATGTATCTATGCATATATGTATGTACGTACGTATGTATCTATGTATCTCCGCTCAACATAGTTGCATTATAAACAACAGGTGAACTCTGTGAGCTGAACAGGCGTCTATAATAGGTATTTACTAGCCGGCCCAGCAGTTGAGTGTGCTCGAAAACGTGTAGCCAGCCATTATATATGTATATATGTACGTGCAAGTGAAAAGCATTATTCTTTCGTTTGGTTTGTCTTATTAAAAAAAAAAAAAAAAAAACTTTCCCAGTAAAGGAATAATTTACAGATAAGATATATGTAGTTGAAACTGTTCCAAATCGACATTTTGACTCCGGTGTCAGTTTATCATACAGAAGCGCATATCTCTCCAATTTTTTCCAGTATAAAGAAAGTTCTTTATTCATGAACACATGGCTAGAGGAAAAATTCGGTAAAAATCTTCTGGAGGCAAAACCAAAAATGTCAAAGTGATATCTATCCGCAGAGTGCTATCGGATTGTAACTATAAATTCATTGACGAGCCATGTGCTGGTAGATATAAGGTCATAGAATAATCAAGTGTTCAGATTACAAGAATACAGGTTCACAGAGTTAACAAGAAGTTAATTTGTAACAATAAACTCATTGACACGCAAATGGGGTAAGCTTTGATAAGAAGCAATGATTTCATCTGGTAAGCTTTGATAAGAACCAATGATTTCATGAGGGTTTATGCAGTTGCTACGCTTGCTTGTATTATTTGTACTTATGAAATTCAAAATCCATACACATGAATTCTTCTCACACACATATACAGCACTGTGCAAAAATCTTAGGTTACTTTAAACTATTGTAAATTTCTAATAGTTGTCAGATTATAAGTGATTTTTTTGCATCGTCTTTTTTCAGTTTTCTCACTTGGAGACATTTCACTACCTAATTATTAAATTTTGTATCAGTTCTGAATAAAAGGGGGACGTTAGACGATTCTCAAATATGGCCGCGTGAAAATTTTTGCCACTTCATAATTGGGATGAGAACACATGCTTGGGACGAAATGATTAAGAAAAAAATGATTCTTCTTCTATGTGCCGTGTCACTTCAGGTTGTTGGCGATCATAGCTCACTACAATTTCCTGTCCTTTGTAGCTCTTAATAAATTTTGTCTTTATGAAAAGTGCTGAAAAGTTCTCAGCCAAACCGAGATGTTATAAAAATAATTTTGATAGCTGATCATTTTGGTCAGGTTTTGATGAATGGGTACGAGAGAATGTAGTAATCAGTTAAGAAATCATTCGTCATTCGTTAGTCAGGTTATGTATTATTTTCCTCTGCCCCTCTTGCCTTCAATCTGAGTATTAAATTTTTAAAGTCTCCTCTCCTCATTATGCGTTTGAGAATTTCAACTGTCTCTTTCAGATGTTAAATATAAGTGTCCTTTTTGTTTCCATATTCTATAAACTTTGTTGTTGCTCACATCAAGTCATAGTATTCTCAGCATCATTTTGTAGAATTTCTATTGCCTCAAGTTCTTTCTTCTTCATTTTTGCGGAGATAGTCCAGCATTCATTGCCATATAGAAGGACTGATCTCTATATATAAAGTTGTAACCTCTGTCTGTTTGTTTGTCATCGAACTCCTCCTGGAGTCTTGGAGATAGACCCCCATAACCATATATATATTCTGAAACAATATTATCCAGGGTACTTGGATAAGTATATTTCATTTTGATCAGAGGGTGTTCCCTGAGGGGCACACTCCACTAATTTTTTCCCTTTGATATAAATTAAATCTAAATTTCAACGAGAATGACTCTTAAGTTACTTGGATAAGTATATCTCATGGAGTACAACCCCACCACTGAATTTTTTTTCCCTTTGATTTAATTTAAATTGGAACGAGGGAATGACTCCTATCCAAAATATAGAAGGAGAAAACCAGAAGATGAAGGTCACATAAGTAAGATCATTGAGTAATAGTGAAATGCATTATTTTTCTCCTGAAATTATAACAATGATTTAAAATCAATCATCATTTTTTATAAAAAAATGTGTCACACGCAGCAAGGCGCTAGTAATTCGGTTTATTACATATAAGTGTAGTACTCTTTTCTTTATTTCTAACGAAATTATTCTAGAAGGTATATTTCTCTATCCTAATGCACCTTTGGATTTCAGTGTCACGCTTTCCGTCCTCTGTGTATGTATTCTGGAAAATACGTTCGTAATTTATGTTATTAGAAAACTTTAAACTTTGTGCCCATTAAAAGAAAAAACCTTCCCAGACTAGTTTTTTTTATCACTTTGGAATGCAACTTTACATTCTACCTATGAAACTTACACAATCAAAATTTGACACGTCCTTGACATTTCATAGCAAACATTACCAATTCACATCTGCCTCATTTTGGCGGATGAGTAAATTTATTGAATATTTGCGCAGCGTTCAAGCTTGACTACACAAAGAAACTATTGTTAAGGTGACTTTAAATCATGGCTGCTTCAGTTACAGTATAATGCGAAGTAGAACAAATTAAAAAAAGAAAGATGACGACAGAGACAATATTATGCTATAATAATAATAATAATGATAACGATACAAATCATTATGAGTTATGAGAAAGACGATAACTATTAAAAACTGTCCAGAAAAATGTTTTAGAACGAGATATATGAAAGTCAAGAAAAATAAGACACAAAAGAATTGCAAATGGCGCTTGTGTGGAAACAAAGATGAAATAACTATATGAAAAGTGCTGAAAAGTTCTCAGCCCTACCGAGAAGTTATAAAAATTATTTTTATAGCTGATCATTTTGGTCAGGTTTTGTTGAATGGGTATGAAAGAATGCAGTAATCAGTTAAGAAAGAATTATATATATATATATATATATATATATATATATATATATATATATATATATATATATATATATATATATATATATATATATATATGTAAGTAAAAGTGTAAGTTTCAAAGGTAAGATATCTGACTGATGTCAAATCAGTCTGGTTTCGATCCCGGCTTGAGGCAATCGGATGTCTAGCCACATTGTAATACAGTGAAACAGTCTGCAGGTGACTTTCTCTCTCTCTCTGTATATATATATATATATATATATATAAGACACAACGCACATGGTCTGATAATTGCCTTTAGCATAAAACAGACCGTCGCCGCTGGGTGTTGACTTCAATGTCCACTTTTATATATACATGCGCTCTGTTCCTGATATTGAGCACTTTAATGCATAAATATAGCATACATACCTTAGAACTATCATATTATACATTATCTT